GGAGTCAATGGCGAAACACAAATTTGAAGTCTTCTTGACCTAAAATTTGTGAAACTCACAAAAAAATGAACATAACGCCTAAAAAGACCAAATCAATAACTCGGAACCTCTTAAAATTCAATCAAGACCTCACTTAGACTTAAAATATTCCTCGAATCCATCAGATACTCGAAATTGTGATCCGAGAATCTGTAACCCAAATGTTGACCAGAGTTAATCCAAAGGTTATCTTCAATTTTCAACTTAAGACCTCAGGTCCTAAAAAAGACTCCAAAATGAAATCAACAATTTACTTAGACCAATTGTCACATTCCGGGACTGATGGAATCGATAGAATTACATTCCAACACTCAAAACTTCAAAAAGACACCAAAACCATTTTAAGCAACTTTAGACTTTCAAACTCAAAACTTACAAAATTTCACAATTTCTTACTCAGATCTCGAAACCAACTTCCAAAACTTAATTTAAAAAAATGACCCAGAATCAACATCAGAAGGGGTAAAACTATAAAGCTATTAAAATCTCCAAAAATGACCAATCGGGTCATTACAAAATCGCAATCTAAACCTAGGTGATGAAACAAAGGTGAAAGTAGACAAAGATTGAGATGAGGTTACATAAGAGTGAAAACCTCGTCTTTTCTGATTTTTTCTTGAATTGATTGAGGAAATTGATAAGGTAAATTCAGAAAATATCCCAAACCTTAACCTAACTCTTTTTTCTTAACATTCAAAGTGGGTTTAACTTATCAATCTCCTCAATCAACTCAAGGAAGATCTAGGAACCGCAAGACCCCACTCTTGAGTTATGCACAATTTGTCCACTTTCGCCTTCATTTTATCACCCAAGAGGCAGTGACAGGAAACTTACTTCAAGCAACCCTAATTCGAACACAATGATTTTTTTAAAAGGGATAATGCCCAAGTACCCCCTCAACCTATGCCTGAAATCTCAAAGACACACTTATACTATACTAAGGTCCAATTACCCCCCTGAACTTATTTTATTAATAATTTTTTACCCCTTTTTAGCTAACGTGACACTATCTTGTGGGCCCAACGATGATTGACTTTTTTTTCCGAACTAGTGCCACATAGGCTAAAAAGGGATAGAAAATTACATATAAAATAAGTTCAGGGGGGTAATAGGACCTTAGTACAGTATAAGTGTGTCTCTGGAATTTCGGGCATAGGTTGAGGGGGTACTTGGGTATTTTCCCTTTTTAAAAAGATATTATAGATTCAGAGGTCTTTTTATCAAAAACAAAAGAAGTTTGTACAGGGGCTTAACTAGGCCCAACATTAAGCTGAAAAAGAATTTGATCTTATATTCCTCTTTTAAAATGAGTAATTGCATAAGAGAGGGCGCATGTAAAAACAAGAAAAGAAAAAAAGTTAGGATATCATCTCTTTTGGAAGAAAAAAAGTTGGGGCAACTATAGAAAAGTTATAAAAATACTCGGATAAAAAAGTTAATTTTAGAACTAAATAAACTTAATTTATTTTTAAGCAGATGATACAAATATGTAAAACTAAATACTCGGATAAAATGCCTTTGCAATAGGTGGTTAAGATTGGACAAATTTGATGCTTTTAAAGGGAGACTTGATATTTTTAGGAATTTTTTTATAAAGTAGCATCTAAAAACATGATCGTATGCAAGATATAAATGAAAAACTAAAACTACTCCTAGCTTTAGTTAAGAAATGAATTCAAATCCCCTTTCTACATAAATAGTAAAGTAAAATTAATATATAAAAGAGTATAAAATAAGAAGAGAATATATATATATATATATATATATATATATATATATATATAGTAAGT